TCCTGGCATCTGTTGCTGTTATCTCTTTCCTCAACAACACCGCAGGTTCACGGAGGACACATCCCATGCCTTATTTAACGTTCCATCCCTGGCAGCTAGTTCAGAGCATGACATACAGTTGACACTTAGTATACACTGGGTGTTGGAATGAATGAACCAGGAAGTGAGCACATCGCCACTCAGGTAAGTGCTCCTGATAAGAGATGATAATGATATTCATCATAGTTAATAACTGCTACCATGAGATACAAAGACTGCGCCTATCTCTTAATCAAATTATAACAACAGCTCTTGAATACTGAGCTCCTATGTTGTTCAGGCAGCTGGCTGGTCACTGCATATGTATCATCTTCTTCCCAGCCTTCAGGGGCTTAGCGAGAGAGGCACACAGCTAAAAAGGGACAGAGCCAAAGCCTTAAACTGACGTCTGCCTGGACGCTTCCCCGGACCCTTGCCTCCTCCCAGAGAACATCACTGCTTCTTATCATTGGGCCCTGACTGGCCTCTGTCTGCAGCTGTTCCCAGATCCTCAGGCCCTCCTCTGAGGCTCCATGCCCACAGAGCCTGGCCTCATCGTTCCGCGTCCTGTCCAATTACTGGGGAAGGCTGGTCTCCCCGCCCCCGGGAAAACCCAGACTGGCCAGAGTGTTCAGAGCCCAAGGTCCACGGCAGATGCCAGGGAAATCACAGGAACATTCAGAAGCGGAGCTGCTTCGCCTGACCGCTGAGCGATTAACCCTTTCGCAGCTGTGACAAAGATACAGAGGAGCTGTACATAACCACATCCTGAATGGCCTGCAGACTAAAACCCAACAGATATCCCCCACAATTCTCTGATCTCCCCTGTCGAGCTTATTTCTGGAGCCTGAGGCCAACAGGATGGAGTGAGATTTGGGGGCACATCTCCCGACTGGTCCCCCAGGAAGCTCATCCCTCACCTGGGCCACTTAGGCCTTGGGAACTCCAGGTATCTTGGCATCCTCACTCTCTCTCCCTCTGCTCCCCAAAGTAATAAATGCCCCCGAATTGACTGGGCAGTTCCTCATTAGAAAGGCATTCCCCTGGTATTCCCTGGAGAAATTAACTCAGGAATCCTGGAGGACAATGAGAAGTCTTGGGGTTACCTGGGAAAGGTCTTCACTCCCCAGACCATTCCTGAGTGCTTAGTATGCATATCAGGGTCTGTGTTGGGGGCTGGAGATGTCAGGGAAGTCAGATCTGCTTCCTGCTCGAGTCCAGGGCGGTGTGTTGGGGGCTGGGGGAGAGTGTGGTGACACGTATGCACGTGAGGATTGACACCTAAACGGGGGGTAGAGGGCAAAAAAGAGGAAGGCATCAGTTGTTTGGAGAGGAGCGGAGGTGGTGGGTGGTCAGGCAAGGCTTCAAAAGCGAGGGAACCCCAGGGCTGGAGGCTGAAGGATGACTGGGCATCCCCGGGCAGACAGAGCAGCTGGGTTTGGCAAAGGCGCACTTAGGGTAGCAGAGGAAGCAGCCCAGCTGTTGTCAGCTGCTCAGCAGAACTTGGGCACATGGTACCAGAGAGAGCATGGCCAGAGATAGGGCAGGGCCCAGGTTCAGGGTCTGAGGAACCAGGGCCTAGGACAGGTGAGTCACTGAAGGGTTTGAAGAAATGGGATGTGATGCTCTGAGAGGAACTTTAGAAAGACTGCTCTGACATAGCACCAAGGGTGGATGCAGAGGGCTGGAGGCCAGAGAGGAGGCTGATGCCCTTTAAAGGCGGCATTTTTATGGGGATCCAGCACAGTCTTTAGAGTGCCCATCTCACACATACCTACGTGCATGCTCATTCATTCAGTTGTATCCAACTCTTTGTGACCCCATGGATTATAGCCCGCCAGGCTTCTATGTCCATGGAATTCTCCAGGCAAGAATACTAGAGGGGGTTGCCATGCCCTCCTCCAGGGGACCTTCCCCACCCAAGGACTGAACCCACATCTCCTGCACTGGCAGGCTGATTCTTTACCATTGAGCCACCTCGGAAGCTCATAATTACAGAGAATGTAGTGTATGTACTACTGTCACCACCACTAGATGGAGTAGGAAACTAAAGAACAGAGAGATTAAGTCACCTGTCCAAGGGCACACAGCAAGTGGTCCTCTCAGGATTTGAGCCATCAGTTCATCTTGAGAGTTCATGCTCTTAACCACTACACACTATAGTGTTCCTTCATCAAAGCTGACCAAGGCTTGGGGCAGGGTAGAGTGGTTAAAGAGAGGATTCCTTAATGGGCCCACCCACTGTATATTAGGGGCTCCCCTGAAATAGCTTCTGGCCTCCATGGATAGAGGGGTGCAATCTTTAAACCTGAGGCCCTTGGAGAAAAACTACAGTATGAAATGTGAAGGCGCTGAAAACTCCCAGGACAGTGCCATGATATGAAGCCACTAGGGGTCACTTGAGTCCCCAGGAACACATGCCTTTGGAGGTATGGAAGAGCACTTTGGTTTAGGTGGGTGTGGGCCTGCAAAATCTTCAGACACAGGAAGGCAGGCTATGGGTGGTCACAGAAGGGTGTGCCCCAGTGAGAAGAACCCGATATTCATCAACCCAGGGCCATTCCTGCCAGGGGGGCTGAGGTCAGATGACTTCTGCAGGCACTATGTAGACCCCTAACAAGTGGCCAAGGCTATGATCCCCCTGCAGGGGGCCAGTTTCCACTCTTCCAGCCATGCTCCCAGAAGGGACAGGATTTGGAGGTGGCTGAGGGCTAGAGTCATACCCAGGGGTCCTCTGATAGAAGAGAGGCCCAGGGTCAGAGAGGAAGGTTCCAGGTGGCTTCTGTGTGTGCATCTGGTGGTATGCAAAGTTGGACTTTGAGCTTGCTGACTCTGGGCTTTGGACAGCGTTTTAGCGTCTCCGAGCCCTCATCTTTAACATAGGAATAAAACTCTGCCAAAGCAGGGTTGTGGTAAACGTCAAAAGTGAATCCTGGCGGTTAGCCCGCGAGCCACGCTTTGTAAAGCCATCATCAGATGTGTTGAGTTTTCCAGGTGTTGTATAGCTTGGAACTGGAGCTGCTGATACTCGAATGTAACATTGAACTTCAGTCTAACTCTAGGGGCTGCTAGCTAGTGGTCAGCCAAAGAACAACACAATAAGCTCCCACATACAAACAAGTTCTGTTCCAAGAACACGTTCATGCGTCCCATTTGTAAGTCCAACAAAGTCAGCCTAGGTACCCTACTAACACGATTGGCTATATAGTACCATACTGTAACAGGTTTATAATATTTTTCACACAAGTAATACATAAAAAAACAAACAAAAAATACAGAAAATATTTTTCATCTTACTGCATAGTACCCTGAAAAGTACAGTAGTACCAGCTATATCACTGCCCCTCTTATGCTTACTTCCAGACATCCTGGGCTTGAAACAAAGATACTGTACTACTGTCTTCTATACAATACTGTAGATTAACTACACAAACGCACAGCCACTTGGAGAGGATGCATGCATATGACAATGTACTCCAGACACATGAACTGACTTATGTGATTGGACAGGCAAAGGTAGGTTTGCATCTTTGAAAGTTCGCAACTCGAAGATTCGTATGTAAGGGACTTACTGTAAACAAAGGATCACGACCTTCCTTCCTCTATCTTTGTTAGATGGAACTCAGAATTGTATTTAAAGTCTGGGCAAAGTCACTTAGAAACATTTATGTTAACAGCACCTCCTGCTTGCTAAGGCGGGGGAACCACAAAGTAGGTATTCTTTTAAAGCAAGCTGAAAAGCTCAGGAAACCAGGGGTATTTTGGGAGTGGATAATTCACAGCTACCGTAAACACAGGCTTAAAGCAAAACAAAGAGAGTAAGACTGAAATCAGGGTCACCATCCTAGATCAGGCCTGAGCCAATCAGCCGATCAGAGGCCTGGCCTGGTGGGCATCTGTGCCAACACCTGTTGGAATCAAAGGATCTCTTCCCTATCCTAAAAAAGCACTGTCAGAGATGAGACGGTCAGGAGGAATGCCTAAAGCTGGTAAAATCACCATCAGAACATTATGAACAAACTGCACACACCAACATTCCCGGCACTGGTGGCAAAGCCCAACCCCCCGGAAGGGGCATTTACACACGAATGGCTGGACAGGCTGGTGCCACGCTGAGGCTTGGCATCACAACTCCTCCTAGGCAGACCGCACAAGGCAGATACCTTCTGTCTGACAGCTGCCTTACCCAGACCCCAGCATGGGAGAAGCAGCACAACAAAACATTTACAAACCCTGAGCACAGCTTCAGTATCTCTGCCACACTGCTTTCCCCACTGCAGGGCGTTGGCTCCCCTGGAGGGACAGACCCCTTCTCACACCTTGTGGGGTCAAGGGGCCCCATGGCGCCCACCAGGCTCCATTTCCAAATTGCCTAGGACACAAGCCCGTTTAAAAAGTATCAGAAGGGGCTGCTGCCTCTCCCACCAAACTAGGTACAGCTTCATCCTTGGCTGGTATTCTGGGGGTTTCCTCCAAAGTCTCCCAAATTGGAAGTGTTTGGGAACTCTCAAGTCATAAACTACTTAGAGTCCCCAGCGAGCTTAGGGGCTCTATCTGATTCCTGCCCGTATTTAAAGAGCTTCCTATTGAGTTTCCCAAAGACAACAAGCCCACACTTCAGACGGGCTTCTCTGTCTTCCCATCCCTTCACCCCAAACACAGAGTAGCTACCCCTATCCTGGGGTAGGGGGTGGGGGTGAGGCCTGGAAGAAGCGGGGCTGGTATTCCCAGAGGGGGGTTGGGTGCAAAGAGAGAGGCCGGAACAAGGGAGCCAGACGACTCCTCCTGCAGTGACGTCCAAGTTCCCACAACCCGGAGAAGATGCGGGGCACCTAAGATTGGGTTCTGCCCCGGGGCCTCTTGGGCTGATGTCACCTCTAGGGGCTGGGGTCCAGCCCCCGGGCCGGGGAAGAGCTGCCAGACCCCGGGGCTGGGGAGAGTGGGGGAGCAGAGGGAGCGGGTTGGCGCGGAGGGCCACTCACGGAGGAGAAGTTGTGCGGGCCGCAGAGCTCGCCGCGGTACTTGCAGGAGAGCAGCATGTCCTCGAGCTGGTGGCCCAGGCGGTCCATGAAGGCGGCGCTGATGCCCTCGAAGTGGCGGGGAGGCAGGAAGAGGCGGAAGTCGGCCAGCTTGCGGAACCACTGGCGGCGCGGCTCGTCCCCCCGCAGCAGTTCGCTGACCAGCGGGCGCGCCGTGCGGTTGGGCAGCAGCAGCCCGAGCCAGTGGCCGGCGTAGTAGAGGTCCCCCTTGGAGAGGCGCGGGAAGCGCAGCGGGTTGTTGTTGCACACGGTGACGGCGGGGAAGGGCAGCTGGCGGCTCCACTCGCGGTGCACTCGCGTGTGCGACGGGAAGCTGAGCCAGTAGAGCAGGCGGTTCGAGGACCAGGACAGCAGCAAGCCGAGGGACGTGCAGAAGGCCAGCACCCAGAGCGCCCGCCGCTGGAAGGAGCCCCCGGGCGCCGCGCGCCCCGCGCACATGTGCCGCAGCCCGTGCAGTTTAGCGCGGCTCAGCGACGGCCGCCCCCTGCGGGCGCCCCCCGGCCCCTGCAGCGCCCGCTCGCGCTCGCCGCCCCGGCCGCCCCCGGGCTGCCCGGCCGCCGCCACCGCCGCGGGCGCCGGTTCCTCGCGGGCCATGCGGAAGCGTCCCGGGCCGGTGAGTGCGGCCGCGGGCCGCCCGGCTCCGCCGCTCCGGCTCATTCATTCAGCCCGCGGCTGGCGGCAGCGGCGGCGGCCCCAGCCGGGCGGAGCCGCCATGGAAGTCCGCAGCAGCCGTGGAAGCAGCAGCGGCAGCCGCCGCGCGCAGCCCGCGCCAGGGAAGCGTGCGCCCGAAAGGAGCTCCGGTGGCGAGGCATGCCAGCCCGGCGCCGCCACCGCCGCCTCCGCGGGCGTCCGCCCGGGACCGAGCCCGCCTCGGCCCGCCGCCCCTGGCACCGGCCTTCCCGAGCGCCTCCCAGGCTCTCCTGGCTCCGAGTCCTCCTGAGGATGCCCGACGCCGGCCACTACCTTTGGAGCGGCCCCGCTGGGCGCCGCCTCTCTGGTCCCTGGGTGCTGCGCCCGCGTCCCCTTGTCGTGGACCTCGGGGGACCCTGAGCTGAGTCCCTCCGGGCTCCGCCTAACCCCAGCTTTTACGCTGGTCCCGGGAGAGCAGCCACTCGGCCACCATGCCTGATTCGGACATCCCCAAGGGCCGCCCGCCGGTGGCCCGCGGTGCTGGGACACGGTGGGGGAGAAGGTGCTGGGGGACGAGCGCCCCCAGAGGCGCGCGGCCGCTCCTGGCTGGGCGGGTGGGGTGGGTGTGTACCAGGATGAGCGGTCGCCCTGCTGGCCCTCTTTCCCTTTCCTCCGGGACCCTCCTAACTGCTCCTCTGGATGCGCTCGGCGGAGACCTGCTTAGGCTTCCCCGAGTCCTGCCCCTCCCGCGTTCGGCGTTGCAATGTGACCGCCCTCGCCCGGGGCTGGGGGCGTCTCAGGGTCCCGCCGGAGGCTGCCGGCCGACGGGCTCCTTCAGTGCTGCTGGCCAGAGGCAAGTGTCGCTTCTCCTCGCCCCGCACGGCTCTGCGAAGTGCCTCGAATCTCCAGAAAAGCCCGATCTCGTCGTCCCTCGCCTCTTCTTTCTCCTGCCCCGGTGCTCCAGGAGCTGGGGACTGCGGAGCCCCGGCTACTCCTCTTGGGGGTGACCCGGACTCGCTGCTCCGCGCGCCCGGCTCCTCTCGAGACTCCCAGCCCCGCGGTGGCGGCGGCGCCGGCTGCGCTCGCCTCCCGCCTGCCCGGCCCTCCTCGGGGCCCCCGGGCGAACTTGGGCAGCGGCCGCGCGACGCTGGCGCGGCTGGGTTTCCAGCACCTGCTCCTCGGCTCGCCGGCCCCGCGGCTCCGGGCGGGCGGGCGGGGCGGCGGCGGCGAGCGCCGTGCGCTCCGGAGACGCGGTGCTGACGCGCGCGGCTCCTCCTCGCTGCATTTTAATTCCTGGCCACTGCGGCCGCTGCACACCGAGAGGGAAGCCTCTTGCCAGCGCCGGCGGGTGGGGGATGCGCTGCACAGATGTGTCGGGTTGTGCGGGGCTGGCAGGAGAGACGTGGAGTAGCAGCATTGCGTGTCTGTGGGCCGTGTGTGGATGAGTGTGAGGCCACGTCTCACTGTGTCGGGTGGACTGTCGAGAACCCGAAGCCGCTGTCTAATGTGGGCCTTTGAGCAAGTGTGTGAGTGGGGCGTCAGGCGCTGAGAGTGGGTAGGATGTGCGTGTGTACGTGTGAACGGGCATCTCAGTGTATCTGGTGGCTGTGGGTTTATTTTTGCAGATGCTGTACTGTGGTAATTTGAGTATGTGTGTTGTGTGTAGGATAGAGGAATGGTGTGTGTGCTCTACTTGGGTGGACCGTTTGCATTTAGCCGGTGGTGGGTGCCAACAAGTGTGTTGATGTGTGGGTGGATATCGGCAGCTTCTGGACCTGGTGTGTAGTTGGTGTTTTGCCTGTGTGCGGTGTGTAGATGAGTATGTGTGTTGAGCTGCTGGGAGCAGTCCCTGGGTCTCTGGCAGATTGGGCCCAGCAGGGGCAGCCCTGCCTTTTAGGAACTTCCAGTGTCCCCTCTTAGCCACTTCCCTGGGGGAGTCTGCTGCTCACCCCTGACTGCAGTCTGCCAAGCACAGCCTCCCTGGATGGGCAGGAGGGAGGAGAGTGACTTCCGAGGACCCGAGAATCTAAGTCTGCCATTCTCACAGCTGGGTTCCCACAGCTGTTTAGCTGATGATATCTTTCTTCCCTCCTGAGCAGGCTCCAGGTCTTCCACTAACCCCTGGGCCCTTTTGGACACTTTCATTCAGCTTTTTAATTAATCAATTAAAGTCTTTATTGGATGTGTTACAATTTTGCTTCTGTTTTATGTTTTGGTGGGTTTTTCGACCCTGAGGCTCGTGGGGTCTCAGCTCCCCGACCAGGAATCTAACCTGTACTCCCTACATTGGAAGGCGACGTCTTAACCGCTGGACTGCCAGGGAAGTCCCTAGCTTTTCAAAATGTTCTGCCTTCGCTTGTCTCATTCACTTGGGGAAGAAGCTCCTGAAGTTGGGTTTTGCTAAAATTCTGCTATGGATTTGGTTCCTTGAAGACATCTGTTGCTGGCTTTGGGGGAAGGTTCCGAATCTGCCAATTTTGTGGGACCCCTGACAGAGGCTCATTTACCAGGGCTTCAGTCTGGTCCCAGCAGTCCTGAGAGGGGGGCCACGGTCACCCATTTCCCGGCCAAGGTGGGGGGAGCTTGTGAGTTCAGTGAAATGACTGATGAAGCAGCCAGACATCTCCCAGCGTCATAGCCCTGGGCTGGCACAAAGCTCTGTCCTGTAGAAACCTTTGAGACCTTTCATGTTCCTGATTTGTTCACCTGTTATGGGCTTTTTCATTCCTGTTTTTTTCCCCTTGAAATGTACACACGCAGCTTTTGGTTGCCCGAGCATCTTCTCTGCCATGGCTTCTCCTGTTAATTCTCCAGATGGGCCACCTCTTCACGGAGAGGAAGGGTATCCTGCATGGGCCCCAGGGGTCTTGGCACAGAAATCCAGAGGCAGACACAGGGGTGGCTGGTGATCCCAAGTGATCGCGGGCTTTCTTTTTCGCACATGGATGCAGTGCGTTTCCTACACTGCCTGAAATCCCCCCACCCACTTCTCAACCAGCTCTGTGAAGTTCTGCCCTTGCCTCAAGTCCTAGCTGAAACATTGCCTCCTAGGTAAATGGATCGATAGCTCCATCATAGCCTTTGTATGGATGGCACCTTGTCACTGTGTGTGTCCAGCCTTTCCTTCTGGACGTGAGCCCTTTGAGGACAGAGACCACATCTCATTCACATTTTTGCCTCTATATCTTAGTACAGTGCCCTGGCACCTAGACGAAACACATCAAAATGGGGAAGAGGAGAAGGGAACTAAGATTTCCTGAATATTTCTATATGCCAGGCAACCGAACCAGACACATATTTAACTTCTTATTCCAACCTTGCGGGTGGGCAGGTGTGTGTGTGTGTGTGTGGTATTTTTACCCTCTTTTTACAACTGTTGAACCAAGGGCATGGAGAGCAGGAATTGAACTCAGCTCTAACTCATTCCAAAGTCTAAGCTTTTCCTTTCCCATCCTGCTGCCTTCAAAAGCATGAAAAATAATAACCGTATAATAAATGTAGGTCTTCCTAATCTCTAGGACTTTTTTCAAGTGACTTACATTAAAAAAAAGTGTCAGGACTTCCCTGGTGGTCCAGTGGCTAAGACTCTGAGCTCCCAATGTGGGGGTTCCGGATTTGATCCCTGGTCAGGAAATGAGATCCCACATGCCCACAAGTAAAGAGTTCACATACTGCCACTAAAGACACCGCCTGCATGCCATAACTAAGACCTGGCGCAGCCAAGTAAATAAAGAGTAAACCAAACCAGGCTTCCCAGGTGGCATAGCGGTAAAGAATCTGCCTGCCAATGCAGGAGATGCAAGAGATCTGGGTTTGAGCCCTGGGTTGGGAAGATCCCCTGGAGTAGGAAATAGCAACCCACTCCAGTATTCTTGCCTGAAAAATTCCATGGAGAGAGGAACTTGGTGGACTACAATCCATGGGGTTGCAAGGAGTCGGACATGACTGAGCACCACCACTGAAAGCAAACCAAAAAAATGACAGGAAAAAAAAAAAAGTGTCATAAACATTCTAAATGTTTAACCCTCAAAATAATCCAATGAGGCACATATGAATACTGCTATTTTCTCTACTCCAAAGCAGAGGACTTCTGACCACAGAGAGGTTGAGCTACTCACCCTAAGCCTCACAGCTTAAGCAGGAGAGCAGCCTTTCAGTGCTGGCAGCCTGGCTCCAGCCCCTGTTCTCTCAAACCCTGCCCCACGGCATCTGTGCTGTCAGAGCTCCATGACATGACAGCTCTCGTGAATCAGGCAAGCTCTCTTGGCTGAAAAACCAAATTCACAAGGCAGTTCCTGACCTGCCCCACGCGACCTATCCACCGAGAAGTTCACATTTAGCATTGTGATTTCCCAGTCAGAAGCTTTTAAGAAAATTTCCCTTTTCCTGTTTGTCTCTAAAACATCTGTCGCTCCACACCTGGCTTCCTGGCCTTCAGTGTGACCTTTGGGTGCCAGCCAGCCCACATTCTGGTGGGTGACCACCACTGTCAATCATCAGCTCTTTCTCCCATGAAATGAGTTTGCTGGGAGGGAAGGCTCATTGAAGGCGATATGATTTTCCATTTTTATAATCCTTTTGTAGGAGCTGACAGTTGTGGGCTTGATCAGGCTTCACTGGAGCCCTTGACCTTCCTGCTTATCCCCAATCCCTACTGCTCAGGGGCATGTTTATTGGAACGTAACATGTTCAGTCGCCCAGTTGTGTTTGAGTTTTTGTGATCCCATGGACTGCAGTTCTCCAGGCTTCCCTGTCCCTCACCATTTTCCAAAGTTTGCATCAGTGATGCCATGTCCTTTGCATCAGTGTCCATTGTATATCCATTGCATTGGTGTCCACTGTATATCCATTGCATTGGTGATACCATCCAGGCCTCTCATCCTCTGATGCCCTCTTCTCCTTCTGCCCTCAACCCTTCCCAGCATCAGGGACTTTTCCAATGAGTCAGCTGTTCGCATCAGGTGTGCTCCAGTATTTTGGAATGTGCCATAGGTACCACCTCGCCTGGCTCTTCGGAATTCCTGCTACACATCCCATCAGTGACAGTCCACTGGTAACTGATTGTATTCCAAAACACCTGGCAGTGTTTAAAGCTCCCTTTTGTCACATTGGAATCAGTCTCTTTGCAAATGTCTCCTAATTTATCCCTGGGGAGCCACACAAAATAAGTTTGATCTTTCTTTCTCATGGGAACCCTTCAAAATACTTTATAAAATCGAAGTACATCAGTGGTGAAAGGGGCGCTAGCAGTCAGCCTTCTTGCCAAATCTTCGAGAAAGTCTTTTCTTCTCCAGGTTAAATGCCATCAGT